AGTAGTGTGGGGACAGAGGGACAGTGGTGGGGACAATGGGGACAATGGGACAGTGGTGGGGACGGTAGTGGTGGGGACAGTAGTGAGGGCGGTGGTGAGGACGGTGGTGGGGACACAGGCGACAGTGGGACAGTGGTGGGGACAGTGGGGACAATGGGACAGCACAGCGGGACAGCGGTGGGGACAGTGGAGACAGTGGGACAGTGGTGGGGACAGTGGGGACAGCGGGACAGTGCCGGGGACAGTGGGGACAATGGGGAGAGTGGGACCGTGGTGGGGACAGTGGGGACAGTGAGACACTGGTGGGGGCAATCGTGGGGACAGTGGGGACAATGGTGGGAGCAGTGGGGACAGTGGGACAGTGGTGGGGACACTGGGACAGTGGTGGGGACGGTGGTGGTGGGGGACAGAGGGACAGTGGTGGGGACAGTGGGGACAGAGGGACAGTGATGGGGACGGTGGTGGTGGGGACAGTGGACAGCTTAGTGGGACAGCGGCGGGGACAGTGGGGACAGTGGGTTTGTGGTGGGGACACAGGCGACAGTGGGACAGTGGTGGGGACAGTGGGGACAGTGGGGAGAGTGGGACCGTGGTGGGAACAGTGGTGGGGACAGTGAGGACAGTGCAACAGTGGTGGGGGCACTGGTGGGGACAGTGAGGACAGTGGTGGGAACAGTGGGGACAGTGGGACAGTTGTGCTGGGGACGGTGGTGCTGGGGACAGCGGTGAGGGTGGTGGTGAGGACGGTGGTGAGGACCCGGGAGTCGTTTGCCAGCGGTGAGTCGGGTGGGGGGGGGGTGTTCGAACCGGTAGTGAATCCCGCCCGTTTTCCGGAGGGAGGGGGGACGGGTTAGGGGGGGGGGTTGCGGGGGGAAGGAAAGGGAGGGGGTTCGAGCAGGGGGGGGTGATTTTCGGAGGGGGGGGGACCTCCGCGTTCCGGAGGAAAGGGGGGGAATCTTCCACAATGAAGCGGCGGTGGATCACGCTCTCTCAAGAATGAAAAATCGCAGCACGATCGTACTCACAGATGATGTGTCCCTCGTCTTCACGGCGCAATCGCCACATGTGGCGATGGCCTATCGCCACATGAGCGACGCAAGCCCGCTCATGCGGCCATCCATGCGAAGGCTCCAGCCAGGACGAGGATGAATTCGGGTGAGGATAAATCAGTAATCTCTGAGATCCGACGGCTCTGGATGATGTCTCGGGCGCCGCGGCCTTCTCAGAGCGTTCCAGAGCGCTCTGAGAGCGTGCCGGAACGCTCTGGAACGGATTTATCTTCGTCATAGCCCCGTCCGAGTCGGCCCAGTCGCATTTGCGGTTGAGATTTGCGGCTCCACATTCCTGTCGGCTCTGCGGGAAGGCGGCCACTCAGGCCCCCCGCCGCTTGGTGGCCCCCTTTGCCACCGCAGGGGGGGATGTAGCCGATCGAGGCTGGACCAACGCCAGTTTCCGAGGGCCACGGGCTCCAATTCGTATGTCAGCGCGGCCAGTCTTGCGCGCGTGCATGCCGAAGCTGCTGCGCGCGCCATCGCCACGGTGCCTCCATGTGAGCGACGCCAGAAAATCGGGGTCGTCTTTACGTCCGCGTAAGGTCGCGCGTGAGCGCCCTCGTCTCCAATGTGGCGTGCCGCGCGGATGTCCCGCGTAAGCTGCGGCGTAAAGTCGTTGTGCCATCTCTCGGAAGACCTGTCTTTGATCATCGTCACATGCTTCCATATCTGTCGCCACATCACCACTATCGTTGTTGTCACAATGGCCACCACCATTACCTACCATCACCACCACAAATGTCTGAATCATATATGTTGTTTTGTTTCCTCAGATCCTAAGATGGGGTTCTTGTTATTATTCGGACGGTTCCGAGAGAACAGACCCTCCTCCTCCTCCTCCTCCTCCTCCTCACCTCCTTCTCTTCCTCATCTCCCACAGCCAAAATAACTCACTCACGCTCAGACTCTCTCATACTCAGCCATACGCAGACTCACTCACACTCAGACTCACTCACAGCCAGACTCTCTCATACTCTGACTCACTCAGACTCACACCCATTCACAGTCAGACTCACTTACACTCAGAGTCACTCATACTCAGACTCAATCAGTTCAGACTCACTCACACCCAGACTCACCCGCACTTAGACTCACTCACTCTCGGACTCACTTACACCCATACTCCTCCCATGCTCAGGATGAGGCTCACGCGTACCCATTAGTGGTCGAATGCCCACCGCGATATAGCGGTCGTGGCACCCGGGCACCCCAAGGAGGGGGCGCCAGGGGTGGGAACATTCCAGGATTCGCGCTCAGCTCGTGGGGATGTCCCAGGCGCTTTGCTCGTTTGGGTGCCCAACATCCTCTGCTTGCGGACTAGATGCTGAGGATGCCTCAGGCGAGGCGTTGGTTTCAGCACTCTGAGGGGGGGGGGCGCCAGGGTTGGGAACGTTCCAGGATTCCCGCCTCAGGCGGTTTGCCTGTTTCTGCCCCTCAAGCGTTTCTCTCTGGGGGGTCCAATGTTCACAGCGATGTAGCAGGCGTGGCATTTGGGCACTCCAAGGAGGGGGCGCTAGGGGTGGGGACACTCCAGGATTCGCGCCCAGATTGTGGTGGTATCTCTCTCTGGCGGTTTGCTTGCTTGCGTGCCCAGTACCCCGTGATTTTGAAGCATATTCTGTGGACATCTCAGGCGAGGCGCTGGTTTCAGCTTTCCGAAGGGGGGGGGGCGCCAGGGGGGGGGGACATTCCAGGCTTCGCGCTCATATTGTGGGAATGTCTCCCGCGGTTTGCTTGTTTGCGTGCCCAACATCGCTGGCTTTCAAAGCAAATTGTGTGGATGCCTCGGGCGGTTTGCTCGTTTCTGCCCCCCCCAGACTTTTCTCGCTTGGTGGTTCATTCTTCGCAGCGATATAGCATGCGTGGCATTTGGGCGCTCCAAGGAGGGGGCGCCAATGGTGGGGACACTTCAGGATTCGCGCCTGGATTGTGGGGATGTCTCTGGCGGATTGCTGGTTTGCGTGCCCCATACCTACCCTCTGCTTTCAAAGCAAATCGCGATGATGCCTCAGGCGGCTTGCCTGTTTCTGCCCCCCCAGGCTTCTTTCGTTATTGGTCCAATGTTAACATCGATCTAACAGTCTTGGCACTTGGGTACCCCAGGGCGGAGCCGCCAGGGGTGGGGACACCATGGTTCGCTTCCAGATTGTGGGGATGTCTCAGGCGGTTTGCCTGTTGCTGCCCCTCATCAGATTTCTTTGTGCGGTCCAGTGTTCGCAGCGATATAGAAGATGTGGTACTTGGGCAACCCAAGGAGGAGCCGCCATGGGTGGGGACACTCCAGGGTTCGCGTCGAGTCGGTGGGGATGCTTCAGGCGGTTTGCCTGTCTCTACCCCCCCTCATTTTTTCGTCATTGGTCCAATGTTCACATCGATCTAGCAGGCTTGGCAGTTGGGCACCCTAAGGTGGAGCCGCCAGGGGTGGGGACACTCCAGGGTTCGCTTGCAGATTGTGGGGATGCCTCAGGCGGTTTGCCTGTGTCGGCCCTCCTCAGATTTCCTTTGCTGGTCCAATTTCCACCGCGACATAGCAGGCGTGGTATTTCGGCACCCCAAGGGGGAGCCGCCATGGGTGGGGACACTCCAGGGTTCGCGTCCAGTTTGTGGGCATGTCCCGGGCGCTTTGCTTATTTCTGCCCCCAGACTTCTCTTTGTATTTGTGTGCCCCTCACTCACTCACTCATTCACCTCCTTCCCAGTTACCCATTTGGACGCGCTCATTCGTACTCGGAGTTGCTCATCAGCACCTCTTCCTCATCCAGACACACTCATCGCATGCAGACTCGCTCATATTCAGATTTGGTCATATTCAGACTCACACGCGCTGTCTCGCTAATATTCATATTCGCTCAATCATTCGCAGTCAGACTCACCAGCACTCAGACTCGCTTATACTCGGACTACCTCTCACCCAGGCTCACTCATATTCACCATCGTATTTAGATATGTGTTCGTCACACTCACGCGCTGATTCACCCACACTCAGACTCACTCACATTCAGACCCGCTCGCACTTAGACTCGCTCGCGCTCAGACGCACTCATACTCAGGCCCACACGTACTCACACTGGCTGTCACGCCTCAGGCTCTATTATTTCTGGATCCACCCACACCCCGATTCGCTCACACTCAGATCACCCGCGCTCAGATTCACTCGCGCTGAGGCTCACACACACAAATTGCTACCGCGATACAGCCGTCGTGGCCCTTGCACACCCCGAATTCGCGAGCAGTACGCCAGAGAGCGGGCGCAGAAGCGCCTGCGCGCTTGCCCTAGTTGCCGCGGGGAGAACGGCGGGAGGAGCTCCGCCTCGCCCTTCCGCTCGTGTCCCCCTCGTCCCCTTAAAGGAGAGGATGACGTCACTGAAGTCGTCGCTGTCGTCGTCGTTACCGCGCTTGTCGTCTGCGCGGACTCGGTCTCACACCCAGATGCTCATAGACAGACGTCCCCAGCGAAACGTGACAGGAACATGATATGCACATATAGGGATCTCCGCGTCGAGTAACTTCCTGTCCTTCACCAGCCCCCAAAGGCCACCCGTAGCCACTTCCGAGCGCGGCTGGCGGTGCTCCGCTGAGACTGCAGCGTGCGCTTCTCGTTCCACGTTGCAGCCTTTGATGAAATGTCTTACTGTCTCCTACTGCGTGGTTGTTCCTGGGCCCACATCGGCCTTGGGTGTGGCCGACGAACCGGTCACGGAGCGCGAAGACGGCGGTAAAGGCAGCGGCAACGATGATGGCGACGGCGGCGACAAACGACGACGACGACGACGAGCGACGGCGAACGACGAACGACACACGGTGACGAACGACGACGAACGAATAACGAACGATGGCGAACAACGGACGACGGCAGAGCCACGAACGACGGACAACGAACCAACGACGATCGAATGATGACGACGACAACGACGGCGGCGACGTACGGCGGCGACGGCGCTGTGCCAGGCCCTCAACCTGACTGGCGGGTGGGTGCGAGATGCGCACGGCCAGCACACCAGGCACGGCGCCATCAGGTCAGCGCCAGCCACCACGGGGGGTGAGCTGTGTTCTCTGATTCCCCCGAGGACATACCAGCTTCGACGCGGAGATGGTGTTGTGAACTTTTCTCATCCTTTTGGGCCTCTGGGGATTTCCAGAGGCTTCCAAGGATCTCTGGTGACCTCCAGGGATCTCGATCGGCTTCGGAAACATATTTTCGGCGTTTTTTGTGGATTTCGGCGTCCAAAGGCCCGTTTCGGGTCCCATGGGCAGGGCAACCTTGTCTGTCGAAGGGCGTCCAGGCGGTCGAAACATCGGCAAGCCTGTCAGTCGGAGGGCGTCAAATGTGCACCAACACCTATCCTGGCCAGGCCGATCCTGAGCCTAGCTCGGATCAGTGTGTATGATCCCGGGTCGAGCGTTCACGAGCTCCCCCTTCCATTTTCACGTGTCCCAGTGTTTCCCCCTAAGACGGGACGGACGACGACGACGACGACGACGACGACGACGACGACGACGACGACGACGACGACGACGACGACGACGACGACGACGACGACGACGACGACGACGACGACGACGACGACGACGACGACGACGACGACGACGACGACGACGACGACGACGACGACGACGACGACGACGACGACGACGACGACGACGACGACGACGACGACGACGACGACGACGACGACGACGACGACGACGACGACGACGACGACGACGACGACGACGACGACGACGACGACGACGACGACGACGACGGACGACGACGACGACGACGACGACGACGACGACGGACGACGACGACGACGACGACGACGACGACGACGACGACGACGACGACGACGACGACGTCGACGACGACGACGACGACGGCGACGACGACGACGACGACGACGTCGAAGAAGGCGTCGACGACGACGATCAGCTCTGGGTGGGGGGGCGACCCTGGATTAAGGAGTCGTTCCTGTCCGAGCCAGGGCGTATACATACATACATCATATGCATCTGTGTGTACATGTACATATATATACATATGTGTGTGTGTGTGTTAGCCAGCGTGGACCCCAAATAGTGTGTTTTTAGCATTATCCCTTGTGCAAGATCTGTTGTGCAATCTATGTTGTGCAATCCGTGTGGTGCAGTCTATGTTGTGCAATCTATTCGCTGCAATCCATTTGGTGCAAATTATGTGGTGCAGTGCCTGTATACGGGCTTCGCCCTCTGCCGCCGGCCCTCCTGTTACTAGTGCGGGCGGCTGCGCGGGGGTCTACTTGGGGCCTCTTGTGGGTCTCCTTGGGGCCTCTTGGGGGCCTCTTGGGGGTCTCCTTGGCGCCTCTTGGGGGTCTCCTTGGGGCCTCTTGGAAATGATATTTTGGGTCTCTTGGGGCCTCTCGGGGGCCTCTTGGGGGCCTCTTTGGGCCGCTTGGAACCTTTTTGGGGCCTCCTGGGGCCCTCTCGGGGTGGAAAGGTCGAGTTTTCGGTTCGTGGACTCCCTCTTGGGCCTCTCTTGGCGCCGTCTCAGGGCCCTTTTGGGCTGGCTGGGGCGCCTCTTGGACCGTCTTGGGGCCCTCTTCGGCCGTCTTGGGGCCGTCTTGCGGGCCTCTTGGGCCGTCATGGGGGCTTCTAGGGCCGTCGTGGGGCGATCTTGGGAACCTCTTGTTTCGTCACGTAGCGTCGGAAAGCCGAAAAGGCGAGAAGGCCGAAAAACTTCAAAAACGTTAGGGGAATCGTTGATTTGTGCTTCGTGGAGCCCTCCTGGGAGACCTCTTGGAGGCCTCTTAGGCCGTCTTGGGAGCATCTTGGGCCGTCTTGGGGCCATCGTGGGACATCTCGGGGCCATCTTGGGCCGTCTTGGCCTCCTCAGGCTCTCTTCGAAGCCTCTTCGGGCAGTCTTGCTCGGGCCGTTCTGACCGTGCGGTGGCGGCGTCAGGAGAATCCTGGGGTGGCCCGGAGCAGCCAGGATTTGACGTTCACCCCCCCCGTTGTCTGTTTGGTGGCGCGGCGGGGCCCCCTAGCAGACAGTAAACAGGAGGCAGGAAACAGGACTGGAGAGACAAAAGGTCACACAACAAACGACATCATATAACACATGACAGCAGACCGCACACACACACACACCTTCGCAGCCTTGCGCCCCCGGAGGGGGCTGGCGGATGCTTATATGTATATGTACACACACATACATATATATATTTATATGTATATAGGTTGTGCAGTATGTGGTGCAGTATGTACGGTTCAACCTTTATGGTGCAACGTATGCGGTGCAATCTATGTTGTGCAAGCTATATGGTACATTCTAGCTGGTGCAATCTATATTGTGCAATCCACTGTGCTGAACTTGAAGTCGTCATCTCCACTGCTCGCGCAAACATCCCACCCTCGCACCCGCAACTTGTTCGGCAAAATTCCAGACGCGCGTATCCCCACCAGCCCATCCAGAAACGATGTCCAGGCGAGTTGAGAGGTGATCAGCGAAGTGCGGGAGCAAAGAGGGGGACGGCCGAACCGTGTGAAAGAGAGAGGGGGCGAAGGAGAAAATTGGATGGATGGATCAGGGAGTAGGGAGAAGGAGGATGAATAGGATGAGGAGGAGGAGGAGGCGGAGGGGGAGGAGGAGGATGAGAAGGGATAGGAGGAGGAAGGAGGAGGATGAGGAGAGCAAGCAAAAGGGCCAGAGGTCTCTTGGATGCTTCTCGGAGCCTCTTGGGGTATCTCTTGGGCGGCTTGGGACGTCTTGGGGGTCTCTTGGCGGTCGTGGGGGGCTCTTCGGCGTCTTGGGTGCCTCGGGGGGGCCTCTTGGGGCCGCTTGGGATCCTTTTGGGGGCCTCCTGGGGGCCTCTTGGGGGCCTCTTGGGGCCATCTTGGGGCTATCTTGGGACCTGCTTCTTGGGGCCATCTTGGAGGAGATCGATCTAACAAGAGGGGAGCTTTAATTAGAGCCCCCCCCCAGGAGGCCAAAATGGGGCCAAAATCTTAGTAAAACCAGTGATTTTGGCTTCCTCGCCGAGGCCGTTTTGGACGCTCCGACACCTCGCGGAACCCCTTGTCCAGGTCCAGGGGAGGGGGTCGGGGGAGGGGTAAACCCCTCCCCGAAGCGGAAGAAGGAGGGGTGGAAGAGGAAACTCCCTAAACCACCTACGCACAGAGGGCTGGTGGACTCATGATGCGGGGGACGCCGGCGCCACCGATGACGACATCGATGATAACATCCGCACTGCCGATGCTGAAGGTGAGTCGATGATTACGGTGAGCATATCGACATACTCGGACGTGCGCGATGACAAGATGACGTCGGCAACGTCTGCGACAATGACGAAGATGTTACCAGCGACGACGATGTTCAAGAGGGCAACGGCACGAACGATAACGGCGCCACTGATGGCAAACACGTTGACGATGCTAATGTCCATCTGTCGATCAGGCAGGTGTTCGTGATGATGCTGACATGGTTGAACAGGAAATCCGCGCGCGCGAAATTTCAACAAATCCGTCAGACTGATCACGCGCGCGTGGCGGTGCGCGCATGTGGCCCGCGTTGCATTTTTTGCTAGGGACTCGCGCCTTCGGCGGATGACTGGAGTATCACGAATGCACCGCGCGGTGACATGAAATCGGTGGATTTGGCAGACTTCGTGAGAAATCCAAGATTTTGGTATGATGTTTTCATGACCATATATTTCTAATTTCGAACATGCTGTTGTCTTAGTTAGTTAGTTATATATATATACTGAACCGCTTGCGAACACGTGGTGTTGGGTATGATTTTGACATGGGCGCGCGCGTGATGATTTTTCCAAAATATTATTGAATTTTGCTTTCTTAAGATGAAGAAGCGTGTGCGCGCGTCTTTTGTTGCAGAGGATGGCGGGGGGGGGGGGATGCCGGTTTGGCCGGGCTAGTATGGTTCAAATTTAGGATGGACGACAGGGATAATACATATGAAGTTACAATACCCGAAGGGGGACCGTTAACTCCGAGTGGGGGGGGGGGAGATGTAGTCCATTTTTATTGTGAAAAACCAGAGCGCACGTTGTGCAATGCGCATGCGTCTGTCCATGTGGTGCACGATATGTTGCGCAATACATGTTGTGCTATTTATGTTGTGCAGTCCACGTGGTGCAATGTATACAGTGCGATCTATGTTGCGCAAGCTGTGTGGTGCAATCTAGCTGGTGCAATCAGTGTGGCGGACCATATGTTGTGAAATTAGTTTTTGTTCGCAGTGAGTTGTCCATTCCACTGCTCGCGCAAACATCCCACCGGCCCACCCGCAACTTGGTTTGCAAACTCTTTTAAGACCGTGGCGGTGGGTACCAAATGGCACTTGGCAACGACAGCGACGCCGACGACGACAGCGACAACGACGACGACGACGCCGCCGACAACGACTACGACGACACCGACGACGTCTCCAACGACTTCGACGACGCCGACAACGACGACGACGACGCCGACGACGACGACGCCGACGCCGACGATGACGATGACGATGACAACGACGACGACGATGACGACGACGACAACGACGACGACGACACCGACGACGACGACGACGACGACGGCAGCGACGACGACGACGCCGACGCCGACGTCGACGAAGACGACGACGCCGACGCCGACGAAGACGACGAAGACGACGACGACGTCGCTAACGAAGACGACGACGAGGCAGGAGGGAGGACGACGACGGCGATAACGACGACAACGACGACAACGACGAGGGAGAAGGGATAACGGCGACGACGCGAACGACGAAGAAGGAGGAAGGACGGCGACGTCGACGACGACAACGCCGAGGGAGGAGGGATGACGACGACGACGACGACGACGACGACGACGATGAAATAGGAGGGACGACGACGAGGCGCCGACGACGGACGACGACGACGAGGGAGGAGGAGGGAGGACGACCATGGCGACAACGACGACGGAACGACCACGACGCCAAAGAGGACGACGACGACGAACACGAGGAAAGACAGATGACGACGTAGGCGACGACGACGACGACGCGGGAGGAGGGAGGACGGCGACGACGACGACGACGCAAGAGCGCGCGCGCACGCTTTTGTTGAAAATCCGTGTTGCGAAACCTTGTGTTTTTGTAGGTTTTGTGGACACGATTTTGCAATCCTTCCGAGAACGATGGGTTGTGAAGGATTTTGGCATACGCGCGCGACGACGCGCGCGTTTGCACTTCGTCTTTTTTTTGCAGAGGTTTCTCGCGGCGGCACACGCTCAAGGGCGTTCGACAGATTTCGACATGCGCGCGCGCGAAGCCCGTTTGGTGGCATGTTGAGAAAATGTGGAAAAACCTATGGTTTTATTAAGATTTCGCAAGAGCTCGCGCGTACACTTTTAGCAAATCAGTGTTGCGAAACCTCGTGTGTTCGTATATTTTTTGGAAGCTCGATTGCGACATCCTTCCGACACCGAAGGTTTCTGAAGGATTTCGGCATGCGCGCGCGACGACGCGCGCGTGTGCACCTCGTCCTGTTTTTTGCAAGGTATTCGTGAAAACGTCTTTATGTGAGAACAACAAATGTCACCGCATAATGTTTCTTACACGGGAACCTCACGGGGGGGAAACCCAGTTGGCCTGGGACATTGCGATTCCATATTTCGGATGCACATGTGGTCATAATCATATGTGATTTACATAGGACGCGGGGGGGGGGGGGGGTGATAACGCCAGGGGGGGGGGGTATAGTGTATAAATCTTGTAGAAGGGAGAATTTATGTTGTACAATCCACGTTGTGCACCCAACGCGATGCAATATATGCGGGGCCACTTTTGTGGTGTAGTCTACGCGGTGCAAGCTATGTTGTGCCGTCTAAGGCGGCGACGAGGCGGCGACGGGGTCGGCGGCGGCGACAACATAGTTGCCAGACTGCCACACCCGCCCAGACGACGGGCGTCGACGAGGCGGCTACGGGGCGGCGACGGCGGCTACATAGCCGCCAGAGCGACACACTAGAACCCCTAAGCGCAAGCATTGCTTTGGAAATCTATTTGTTTGTAGACTGAACATGATGGGCCAGGATCGGTGTAGGTCTCTAGGTGGTGCCTTCCTATTAAAGAGATCGTCGACACGAAAGGTCCCTTCGGGGGTGTCAGGACCACCACAGCTCCCCCACGTGTGGCGGACCGGCAGGTACCACGCGGACCACCCCGTCGGGATCAATGGGCACGGAACCGACTGGATGACTTTCGGCAAGGTCTTCTGTCGGGAGTGCCGAAAGAGGTGGATTTGCTTGGGGGGGACACCGACCTCCAATCATCAATACATCGTCGATTGGGTTCTTGGGTGCTCAACCCTGCCCGCGCGCGCTCGTGGGACGAGGGGGAGGAGGCGGAAGGAGGAGGATTAATATGTATGTATGTGTACACATACACACATATTGTTCTTTCTCTCTCTCCCTCTCTCTTGAGCCGGCCCCCTCCTCTTCGGAATACCTCTTCCAGAGGAGGAAGAGTTGTTGCGAACGAGCGAGTCGTCTTCCCCTCTGGTTTCCTGTCCCTCTCGAGTCTGCACGGCAGCTTCCTACCGCCTCGGCGCGCGGCGGTCCCAGGGAGCCCAGAGAGCGCAGAGTAATCAGGACAGAGCGGCTCGCGCGGTAACGGAAGCCAGATCCTGCGCCGCCATGGCAGGAATTTGCCGCCCTACACACCCCTGCTTCCCTCCCTCCCCCCTCCCTCCGTCCCTCGACACGAGTTCGTTTACGTCGAGGTTTCTATTCTCAGCTGCGAAGGTCGATCTGAAGGTGGTCTGGGGCCACACGAAGAGCGGGCTTAGGTACCTCAACATGTTCGCGAGGCGCTTGCCCAAAGCTGGGATGCCGATCGGCGGCCCTCTCTGCCCCTGCCTCTCCTCGTCTTCCCGGCTCCCTCCCTCCCTCCTTCCTCCTCTCGCCTTTCCGCTCGAACGTTACCTGATACTGGACTGTCCGCCGCCATATTAGCTTCCCAGGGATCCCACCGTGCCCGTGCTTATCACGTGTCTAGTACGCGTTTGCGGGTACGTTTGCTTGCAACGTGAGCTAAACCATCTAATCGTTCTAACCCCATGACGCTTATGCTTGGCAGCGGAGCTCAGCTTTCGCTCCACGGCCTCATGTCCTGCTTCTCCCGCGCCACCGTGGTATCCATGTTAGTGCTCCAGCCTTGCGACAAGGATGGCCTGAACACGAACTCGTTTCAGCCCACCGCGAGCATGAGCACGAGTGTGTCTCAGCCCACCGCGAGCGGCATCGATGATTACGTTGGTCCAGCTCGAATCTGTGGACACCGTCTTAGCAAAGACGGGTGGAGAGGATATCGGGGGCAGCCGACTTCCGCAGACCGTCGGTACGACATTCTGTACAATGCTTCCATGTTCAAGAACACCTCGGATCTTAAGGTCTAGGACAAGATCCATCAGCTCAATAACACCCACGGCACCATGGTCGAGAACAGATGCGCTGGCGCCAGAGCCGCTGGGTCTCGGCGCGGCGGCTGGCCTGGGAGAGCTACGCCAGGCTAGATGGTGGTGGGGCTCGGCCCCGGCATGCTTTCCCAGCACATTGGCGAGGTCACGTGGCTGGTCGGACGGGGCCAGGACGAGGACAAGTCCTTTCCAGTGTTCCGGAACGCTGTCAGAGCGCTCCAGAACGCTCTGAGAAGGCGCGGCGCCCGAGACATCCTCCACAGCCGCCAGGAGAGTGGCTCGGCCAGTGGCCGCGTCGCTGGTGCAGCTCCATCGGCGCCGCCAAACATGGCCCGCACCGACGGCGTGTCCGTATGGCCAGGGCCACCAAATGACGACCGACGACGACGGCGAGCAGTACAGTCGGCATGACACCCGCTTGACCAAGAAACTCGCGGGGAGAATGCCATCGCCAGAAGATACCGCTTGTGCTGAGCAGGATGACGGCATTTCAATGGCCCGTGTTAAAACAAATAGTTGTTTTGGGGGTCACTGTCGGTGACGGCATCGCGACGGGGCCACAGGATCTTCCACGGTCAGGTCGAAGGACTGCGCGTTCTGTCGCAAGCTCCGCTTGTTGAGGTGGCCACCAAAACCAGACTACGGCCACTCCCCTTGCGCAGGCCCCGACGGCAGTCTTGAAAACAAGTAGGAGTCACTGCGATTCCTATCAATGCGCCTCTTGCGAGCACAGCTAGTGCGAACGCACATCAGACTGTTCAGTAATACAGCATGAAATTCGTCAGCGCGGATACCGAATCCCAGCACGTGCACCAGCTGCTCAGACGACTGAAGCACATGCTGGAAACATCGCCTGGCAACCTTGCTTCGGCGATCCGCCTCAGTTCTGGAGCACTTTGGCGGAGCATGGGCAGCTGACCAGCGGCGTGTCTGCCAGCGGCTGGGGAGGTCTCGAGCATCTGGCGCTGGGTCCCCCTGGATTCCCGCTGTCCTGATACCCACGGCGAAGCTGACTGTTCGGGTCAGGAGGAGGCCTGCCCAGCTGCCGACGCCGACTCACACCGAGCTCCCCGCCCCCAAGGAAGGCCGAACCGCCCCCAGCTTGCCGCCCGAGTGGAATGCAGCTTCCAAGACACATGCTAAAGCCGCAGCGGCGAGGGTACGTGCTGCCAGTGCACCGCCCAGCCAGGGCTGTCGTGGGGCTGTGGTTGCGAAACCATGCGAAACCATCACGAGCGTAGAGGCTGCGAGCGAAGCTGTACCTGAAACGGTGGGAAGACCCGCCGCAGCGATTGCCAAACCATTCCCGTCTGTAGAGGTGGATGAAGGCACGAGTAGCGAAACTGACGTCTTGTCCGAGGTCGTCTGGGAACCGCAGGCAACAGTCGATGCGTTGACTGACCCAGGTCAGGAACTCATCGGTATCCTGCCTGATGCCTAGTGGTATTTGCTTGCTGGTGCAACCCCGTGCCGCTGCACGATGCGACAGAAAGGGCGCGCATGCGGTGCGATTGCCAGATTTCTCCGGCATGCTGCAGAGCGCGCGAGTCGCGTGGATTCCGTGGCGTGGAGTACCGAGCTGGTTAACGTCATCATCGCCGAATGGCTAGCAAGGCGGAAATGGGAATGCGGCCCCCGATTCCCCGAAGACGTTCCCGTGCATCTAAAAACTTAGCTTCGCATATTTGTTTGAGGTTTCCCGTGGCTGATCGGGGTGAGCATGCGCGCCCGGCGCGTCGAGAACAATATGCAAGATCTTGGATTGCGACCGAAACAAGTCTATTCCTGCGCCCGAGCGGGCGAGGCATCTGGCGCCGCGACAATGCAGCGGCGGGGGGCCCGCTGCCAATGGTCGCATCTCCCGCGACAGAGTTTGTGGTGGACGACGGTAATAACCTCGTCGTCAGTCGAGCTGTTGGTGGCCGCTGCCTCGCGGGCGAGTCGCGATTCGCCGCTCGGGGGTGGGCCGAGGTGTCTCCGCGTGATTTCGCTTCGATTTGGCATGTTCGGCGCGCGCAACTTCCCGGGGGCAGAGGCCGCCCTCGGCGCGTCAGCGTCGCGTTTTGCCCGCGCCCCGCCCGGTGCCACCGGGTGGAGAGGGCCCCGCGGCCCGGCTTTCCCCGCCCATCGGTTGGGGGGGGCAGCGTTCAGATGGCCGCTTGCAGAGTGCGCCGGCCATGGTTTGCACGGCTATTGGTTCGTCATGTCCTGGAAGACCATTGGGCCTGACTGCTTCGATATCTGCGCGGCGTTCGCGGCCGGTTCGAGGCTGGCGCGCGCGCGGGGCGCGATGGCCCGCCGACGCGGGCACCCGCAATGGCGAGGCCTAGCTTGGCGGACCCGCGCGCGCGCGCGCAGCGCGCCCAGGACGGCGGCGCCGCCGCCGCCGCTAAAACAAGCGGCCGGGGAACCAGCTGCCGCCAAGGCGACGACCGATGCAGCGGAGGGGGGCGCCCCTGGGGCCGCGCGGTGCGAGGTTCCATCTGCGCGTCATGCGGTGGTGCCAGCCCTCGCAGAATATTGCGGGCCCAGGAGTTCAAATTGGACCGACCTCGCCATTTCTGCTTGGCTTGGGGGGCCTTGCGACGGGAGAAGATGCCGGCGCCGCCGTGGCCCGAGCCGGGAGGGGATCTCAGGGCTGGCGATCGCTGCAGACCAGGCGCTCACGTCCTCGCCCTGGCCCAGCTATCTCGTCTCGTTAGAAATAGAACGTTGTCTCGTCTCGTTCTTGTTTGATTGGTGCCCGCGCGTTGTTCTCAACCTTTTGCGGAAGTCCACGCGTCCATCTTCCACCTCGTTCTCGCCCTTCGATGCCGTCGTCAGGCATGCCGCCCTATTCTGTCGCCCTAGTTGCTTGCGTGCGCCCGCGGTGTGTCTTTGCGTGCGTTCTGCGGCGTTCCTATAGGTCGACTGTCAACGAATTGTCCCCGTCGGTGCTTCTGCGTGTTTGCGTTGACGTGTCCATCGCTGGCGACGTTCCCGCAGCCGGGCAGCTATCCGGGGAGCGGCCAGCAGATCGCACCCTTGTGCGTGACATGCGAGTGCATTGCCCTCTCGCCCAGGCAGGCCTCGCTCTCGCCTGGCGGCCGGCTGGGCGCCGTCTTATGGCCGGCGTTTCTTTTTGGGCGTCTTCAGCGTGCTCCGAATGGGGGCCGTCGGGGGCCGCGCGGTGGAAAAGACGAAGCCAGTTCGTGGAGCCGCTGGGCTGCTTCTGCAGCCGTCCGCCCGCAGCCGTGGGTCGCCAGCAACGCGCGCCCGTGGGGCGCGGGAAGCGCGCGGCTTGTTAGAGAAGAAACTCAGACGGGCTTCGCGGAGGGAGCGTTGCTCCGAGGATTGGCCTGCTGCGCCTCTGCAGGCAGCAGTTGGCGATTTGCCGTTTCTGCAACTCCAGGCAACCCGGCTCGCCCGTGGATCGGGTGACCTTTACGGGGCAGGCAGCGTCAACTAGCCAGTCTGTTCTGCTGGCTGCCCCCGCCCCGCCGCTGCGCGGGGGTTGTCGGGCCAAGGAGGGCCCTGCGAAAGTGCGCCCCGGGGGCGTTGTGCCGCTGGTTCGAACGCGCCACTGGGCCGCGCGGTCGCGCTTCCGCGGGGGCGACAGGTTGCGCTGCCGAAGGATGCGGCATTTCGGCCTCGACCGCATGCTCTTCTTCCGTGTCGCTTGGGCCCGCTGCCGCGCGCCCGCGCCGTGAGATAGCCCGCCGCCGCCCCCCTGCAAATGGATGTCGCGGGGCGCCCCTCCTCGCGGGCCGGCCAATGTGTCCTGCGCGCCCGCGCAAAAGGCTGCCGAAAAAAGCGCGGGGCGCGCGCGTCGACTGACGCTTGCTCCGCGGTCGGCGGCGGGCGCCCGACGGCGCCGTTGCCCCGCCGGGCCGCCCGGGTCTTCTGCGAGGGTCAGATCGCAAGACGGTGGCCGCCAGGCGGGTGGGTGAAGCGTTCCAGGGCCGTCAGCTGCCGCTTGTCCATGGGCTCGCGGCGCGCGCGCCGCGCCCTTTCCTTCCTCGGGGTGCGCCCGTTGCTCGAGAGCGCCGCGGCCAGGCGCCCGATTGGGGCGAGGCGGAGATGCGATGGGCCAGGGCGCGCGTCGGGCTCGTGGCTACGCGTTTTTAAACACACTTTTACGCACCCCCTTTAAACGTTCAGATAGCCGCCTCAACTGTATTTTAGGAGTAGGGCTAGCTCGTGCTCTCTCGTGCTTGCCCCTCCGCTCCTTGCGCAAAGTTTCGGCTCGAAGAGCGGGTTTCGCGGGCGAGGCCCGCGCTCGAGCCATCAGAGAGGGGGAGCTTCCAGCCCCTGCTCGCCCCGGGCCCGACAGGCTCGGGCGCCGCCACGACGCCGGCCATCGGGCGCCCCGGCTGGCTGCTGGTGGCGGCGCTCGCCCTCTGCGAGCTCGA